CTGTATTGTTGAGGGAATTGTTGAAAGGATTTACATTGTTGTTGGGTTTGCATGGGGGGTCTCGCTGTGGTGTCTTCTTCGTTCTGTAGACGTGTGGGGTTGGGTTTAAGGCGAGCGCCTCTTGAGGTGTCTGGGGAGGGTTCACGTGTCTCCGCAGCTGTTGGGGTGTATGCGCAGCTCGGTGCTGCAGCAAAGGGACGGTCTCCTCCGTCGTCGTGCTCCTGAGGTGTATCCGCAGCAAACATAAACAGAAGGCGCAACACCATTTAGAGAGATACGCACTTGCTCCTGTTGCTGCTGTTGTTGTTGTTGCTGCTGTTGTTGTTGCGGCTGCTGCAGCAGGAAGAGAGCCAGCTAGCAGCATGCAGCAGCAGCGGCCAGCGAAGCCTTTGCTACTGAACTAGTAGAGTAAGAAAGAGTATAATGCAGAGGGGCAGAGATAGCAAGAAGGGCCTCTACCTCATTCTGTATACGGAGACAGTCGCGGTCATCCATATAAGAAGAGGGCCCCCAATATGCTGTCCCTAGTTTGCTGCTGCTATGCATATTGCTGCTGCTATGCAGATGACTCTTGGGGGAGAGACTGCGTGTGCGCCTTGCATGCATTTCTTCTTGAGGGGAGTTGGTATCGTTTATTTCTTTGGGTTGGGTCGCCCGTATGAAGCACCCTCTATTGCTGCTGCTGCCTCTTCTGCTGCTCCTGCTGCGACTGCTGCTGCTGGGGGGGAAGCGGGGTACGACGAAGGGGTTTTGCATCTGTTCGTGAGTTTGCTGCTGCTCTGCTGCTTCTCTATTTCTTAGGGCCCTGTTGCGGGAGGCAGCTCTAGAGGCGCTGTGACGACCCAGAGACAACTCGTGACCCCCTGAGTTTTGCTGTGCTCTCTCATTTAAGAGGCGCATGCGCAAGCGAAGAGCAGACTCGTGGGCCTGCAGAACAGGAGAGAGAGTGCGGCCAAGCTTCTCAGAGTCTACTGCTCTCTGTCGCGAGGAAGGGGCTTCAAGAGCTAGCTGATTGTATGCCCTGCGTCGTTCATATGCAGAAGATAAAACGGACACCCGCGGAGGGGGGGGCCCGAAGGAACCCAAACCCTCCATGGTGTTCCTATTGCTTCTTCCCCTTCAGAAATACAGAAAAAAACAAGAAAAAAGGCGAACAAATGTGCACGATCAGCTGCTTATACACCGCAGCTGTGCACGCCCACACCGCACGAGCTGCCGAGACACCTGGGGACAGTCGCCCAGTGTAGTCGCACAAGCTCAACAAGGGAGTGTAAATGGATTAATTTGTTCGGAATGACATTGAAAAAAGCTGAGAAGACAAAGAAAGAAAGAAGAAAGAAGAACAGACGATTCGACTCAGGAGGGCTTGAGGGCTCCTCTGGGGAGAGGGGAGGGCGGGGGCAGTGCGCCCAGCAGTATTTACTTTGAAAAAAATTAAACAAAAAATTCTTTTTAATAAAATATATTTATTTATTTTATTTAACAGGGATATCACCCAAATATCGCAGTGGAGAGGCGCCCCCGGTGGTCTGGTCGTCAACGGTCTGAGGGTAGGAAGCCCAGACTAATTATTTAGGGTGTATTTCTTATTTTTTTTGCTTTTCTTGAGATAATTGCCATTAAAAATAATAAAACAAATATTTAATTGCTTTGTTTGAGGAAAATAAAAAACAAAATATACGCCTTTTATGCCCGCATGCATACAGACCATCAAGGAGCAGAAGAGAGGCCAGCACGAGCTGCCTAGACACCCGAAGCAGCGGTTAAGAGAATAGCGCAACGAAGCCTTCTAAGTGAAATTAGGCTCTTCTTTTATGTTTTTTACACCACTAATAATAATAGAAATAATTTATTTCCGGCTTCTAAGCCCTCAACTTAACGTCTCAATGTATACGTTGCAGGACCGAGGTAGTCTTCAGATCTATAGATGGCTTTAAGTGTCTCTTTAGCTAAACTTTTCCGTAAAGCCGCTCTCGGAAAAGTACTCCTAAGAGGTATGACCGGGTGTATGTACACTTCAACTCACAGGAGAGGATTGTGGCTGTTCCTTGGGGGCCCTCCAACCCATCCCAAAGCATCTCTCTCTTGCGGAAGTTGTTGTTGGCTTTAGCAGCCGCATTTATACCTTTTTGCATGTTCTATACAAAGGGTCAGGTAAGCTTTAAATCATTGGGCTCAGTACGCTTGCATGCGCTGCTGATTTGCAGCAAAAAGTACTGCATCGCAGGGCTGACTGTCTGCTGTTCGCAGCATCCCTAGCCCTGGCCCGGTCTTCTAGTCTCTATACTAACGATACATAAAGAGCACAGATTGTATATCTTCTTCTTTTGCTCTTCTCTTAAGAGTAGTCTCTGTATTGCACTACACCCTGCCTCAACTGAGGACCTTTGATAGGGGCTACACTTCGTTGGAGAGAATGACTAGGATCGATGAACTCGAAGATGGAGGCCCTACCCCACACTCCCACTGAAGCAGAGGGCCCCCCATCTCTGTTATCGGCTGTGCTGCACCTTAGAGGGCACACTGAGATGGTTCTAAGGAGTCTCTTCTCCAGTAGTCCTCACAAGCGCATGCATGTTGTTGTTTATGTCCTGATTAATTAGACACGATATTCATAGATGGTGTTGTTGCGTCTGTTAGTTGATTCTCGTCTGTATAAGTTCTTAGTCTTCTCCGGTCTCTCCCTCTTATATTAGTGTTGTTGCCTTATGAAGAACATTTAAACAAGCATTCTTAAAAATTAGCAGTACTAATGGTATGATGATGTCTCCGCGCTGGGGATATTTGTTTCAAAGAGCTCCTCTTCTCTCGATATGCCGAGGCTAGGTTATATATTTGCGAGCATATAGAAACCAATTCTCTGCATTTCTTTCTTTTTATTAAGATGACGATAGTCTGTAACTCATCAAGAGCATCTACAAGATGATAGATAGTAGACTTCGAGAGAAGATAAGACATCATTCTTATTATTTATTATTATGTTGTCTGTCTCTTACATGTTCATTCTTTTCTTTTCTCTCTTTGTCTTTGCTGCTGTTTATTATATTATAAAAATATATTTTTCGATCTGTTTGTCTCTTCGCTCTCTCTGTCTCTTACTTCACCCGTTATATTTAAATGATCGGCAAAGGCGGAGATATCTTCGGATTTGCTTTTAAAAGGGAAGCACCTTTTGCTTCAAATAGCTACAAATACTCTGCTGCTTCTAATGATATCAGACCCCGCCTCAGACCCCAACAGCGCCACCTTAACTCAAGTGAGCAAGAAGCTAAGTTTTCAGCAGAGACCACGGGGAGAGTTGCCTTTAGATTCTTTTTTCTTCATCTCCTGAACATCTCTCAGCTACTCTCTTTAAAAGCATCTTTAAAAGAATAATAATGAGTTATATATACACCTGCCCCCCCAACAATGAGGATAGAATTCATAGCTCTGATCCACGCCTTCTAAAGATGGGGTTATAATAAACTTTAGCCAGAGTCTTCTTCTACCTTAGCCGACGATTGTCTTGAGTTTTAATAGAGCCGCAATAGGTGAAGTAGAGGAATATATAAACAGTTAATGAGCCCCCTTCAGTCTTTATCAGTAGCTTGGAGCTGCTCATGAAGAGGAGAAGAGACAAATTCTGCTGTCTCTTGAGGTAGTCTCCGTTGAACTTCGATTGCAAGCTCTCCCCAGATATTATGAGTATAAGACACAAACCCTTTCTTCTTGGGGCATGCATAGACACTGTAGGCAATTGTTAAAGGCTCTCTCCGCCCTCAGCAGCCAAACAACGCTGTCTTCAATAGATGAAAAGACATACCCTCTCCATACAGTTCAAGCTCGCATGCAATCGTACAAGCACTGCAATATCTGTTTGGAGGTGTGCTCGTCTTTGCCCCTTGAAATACTGAAAAGACGAAGAGCAGCTAGCATTTAATAGCATAAAATTCTAAGAAGAAACCCCACAGTTTCTGGTGTATGTTCGTGAGACGACGAGGCGAAATAGACAATAAAGGTAGCGATCTTCGGCTAAAATTATGTGGAATAAACTTAGCATTAATATAAATATATAATTTGAGCTTTGCACGATATTTCGTTCGTTAAATACACAAAATAAACGCATGCTTACCTGCCCTCGTCGCCAATAGCGGCATGCACATATAATATATATATATATATAAATCTATGTATATAGATATATATGTATATATATATATGAGGCATGAACCTAGCTACATAGAGCATTACTTCTTTTTGATAACTGCGGTGTTTAAATAGTAAAATGTAGTGTATGCTGAGCTCTACAGCATTTGCCTAAGTTGCTGCTGTTGCTGCTGCTGTTGTTGCTGCTTGTTTCCTTTAGAATTGAGGACGAACTTTTGTATATTTGGTTTTAAAATATATTTACAGACATATTTAAAACAATTTAACTGCAAAAAAACAAAATTTAGAGCGGCTTACCGCAGTAGCGGCGCAGCGATGCTGGAGTACAACAACAGCATAGGGATGACTTAAAAATGCGTCTTCTAGTGTTATAAAGAGGCAAAAAAGTAGAAATAAATAGTATTTATAATTAATTAATTAATATTAAAGATAAAATAAACATAAAATGTATACGGTTCGACATAGAAGCTCAGGGCTTGGGGCTGTGTACAGCAGGCGCCGCCGTGCTAAGGGGCCTGCGTCTGTCTGTTGGGTAAAAGAAATATATTTTTCGTCTTTTTTAAAGCCATATAAATAATAATATGTTTTAAACGATGCTACAAGTTATTTTAGGGTAGTCTAAGGAGGATTCGCTGAGTGCAGCGATATATATATTATATTATATATATGTACGTACATATATATGTGAAATGAACCCTTGTGTATAACGGAGCAGGTATAAACAGCAGAAAGAGAGGGAGTTGTTTACATATGGTGAGCGATAATAAATATATATAAATGCATATATATTATAATACATGCAGCAAAGCAGCAGCAACAGCAGCAGCAGCAGCAGCAACCCCATACAGCGCACAATGAAGAAAGAAACAATCTCTATTAAACACCTGCAAACTTCTCTTGCAAGTGGCTACCCTTCCCTACCTCCAGCTTGTCTCTACACCATACAAACAACAGAAGCAGAGCTTGACGGGCTTCTCAAAACCCTCAGACGACCCCAGCAGCAGCAGCAGCAGCAGCAGCAGCAGCAACAGCAGCAACAGCAGCAACAGCAGCAGCAGCAGCAGGAGAAACAGAGGCATCATGATGGTTCTTTCTGTGGTCTTTCTGGAGCTGATAATACCCCAAGAAGCTCCTCACTTCAAGAGCAGCAAAACCAGGCCCCTGATGCTGCATGCAGCCCCCCTCTAACAATGCATGCATGCATCGTTATCTCTCGCTGGACCCCATACAGCAGCATTGCTCCTCAGGGAGAAGACCATCGGAGGAGGCCTCAGAGGAATACTTCTCCTTCAGGGGGGCCCCCCTTCGTCTCTGGCTCCACAGGGATAACAGCTGGGGGCCCCTCTTCAGGGGGACCCCCCTTTGGGGGCCCCTCTTCTGAAGGCCCCCCCTTTGGGGGCCCCTCTTCTGGGGGCCCCTTCTCTGGAGGAGCCCGCTTTGGGGGCCCCACCTCTGGGGGCCCCTCCTCTGGGGGACCCCGCTTTGGGGGCCCCCCGTTTGGGGGCCCCCCACCTGGGGGCCCCTCCTCTGGAGGCCCCTCCTCTGGGGGACCCCCGTTTGGGGGCCCTTCTTCTAGGGGCCCCTTGTTTGGGGGCCCCCCCTCTGGGGGCCCCCCGTCTGAAGACCGCTCTGGGTTGAGCCCCACGGAGTTAGAGAGCTTTCAGCGTTATGAGCAAATACTGCGGGATATAGAGAAGCGAAACGAAGCAGCAGCAGCAGCAGCAGCAGCAGCGAGGAAGGAGAGCAGCAGCAGCTACGATAAGGGCCTGCAGCAAACAGATGAGGGGCCCCCCACAGAGACAGATAATAACGGACCCTTAGCTCCTACTGCTTTAGGTATAATAATGCAGCATTTACCTTCTCTGGATCCAGCAGAGTTTTTGCTGCTGTACTCGCGCATGCAGCAGCACCTGCAGTCTGCTGCAGCTGCTGCCTCTTCACCTCTTGCCCCTGCTGCTTCGCTGCCTGTACACCGCAGCAGCGCCTCAGGCTTCGCTGCTTTCGATGAGCTTCTGCTTAAAAAAATGAAGACATTGACGCTCAAATCAAAGCCAGAAACCAACACATCCAGCAGCAGCAGCAGCAGCAACAGCAGCAGCAGCAGCAGCAGCAGCAGCAGAGGGGAATGTGAGTGCGGTGTTGTTAGCGTTGATAGGGAAGGTGTTGATGGGTGGGGTTGCTGGTGTTTAAATAAAGAGAATTGGGGGTCTTATGATTTAATCGGTAATGAGAAGGGCCCCCGATATTTTCTACGACGCTCTTTATCTGAGGTGTATGCACAGGGTTTGCTGCTAGATAGCTCTTCGTGGTATGAGATGACAGTATATCCAATTGCAGCATATATGGCTGCTGCTTTGCATGCACATAGTGAGCTGCAGAGACACCTGGAGGCGGTAGGCTTACAGCAGCCTTCTTTCCCTCAGCTTAGGCGCAGCATCAAACAATACGCGGCTCCTGCTGCTCCTGCTGCTCCTGCTGCTGCTCCTGCTCCTGCTGCTGCTGCTGCTGCTGCGCTGCGGCCGCTGGTAGCAGTAGACGGGTGCTGCGGTGCTGGGGGTGATGTTCTTCAGCTGTCTAGACACTTTGATATTGTATTTGGCGTAGATAAAGATATGCTGAAGATTTCTTTATGCAGACATAACTCTCTGCTGCTATCAAAGACAGACCCAGCAGCAGCAGCACCCGTCGTGCTGCTGCACCAGACACTGCAACAGCTGCAGCAACTCAGATCAGCTTGGAGCGTGCGAGACCAGCACCACCAGCAGCATGAAAAGCAGCAGCAGCAGCAGCAGCAGCAGCAGCAGCAGCAAGATGAAGCTATGACCTTAGGGGCTATCCTGCGGAAGCAGCGGGCCCTGAATGCGGAGTTCAATCGGCAGCTGCAAACAGACAACTGGAGGGAGTGCGAGGGAGGACAAGGCGAAGCAGCAGCAGCAGCAGCAGCAGCAGCGCCTGCTGCAGCAGCAGCAGCAGCAGGAACAGCAGCAGCAGCAGCGCCTGCTGGGCTTCAAGGAAGCAGCACCAACAACCAGGGGCCCCCCATTGACAGAGATGATAGAGATGAATTATGTCTATGCATTCCCTTCAGTACGATGTGCTGCCGCTACTGCGCCAAGAAGACTCCTGCTGCTGCTTCTGCTGCTGTTGCTGCTACAGCTACTGCTGCTGCAGGTGCTTCTGTTGGTGTTGCTGCTCCTCTTTCACCCTCTCTAGCACCTGCAACAGCACCGCAGCGCTCAGCTGCATCCCCAGTCGCCCAAGGGGCCCCGGAGGCCCCCCAGTGTGGGGGCCCCATTGGGGGGCCCCCCCATTGTGGGGGCCCTATGGGGGGGCCCCCCCAGTGTGGGGGCCCCATGGGGGGGGCCCCCCAGTGTGGGGGCCCCACGGGGGGGGCCCCCCGGTTAGGGGGCCCCCCTTTGGAGTGTGTAGAAGTGAATGAAGATGAGTTTTTACCGATAGATTGGGTTTATATGTCTCCGCCTTGGGGGGGAGAGGGTTATGCAGGGCACCGAGACTTCTTAAGAGATCGCTACTTTGTCTCTGATAAGAAAGATATTTTTCAGCTTGTTTTAGCTGCTGCGAGGTGAGATAAGAAACTAATTAGTGAACGGGGCTTTAAGGAAATGCATGCGTAGTATATCTATGCATGCATGCATGAAGGGTTTAGGGTGTTGTTTTGTTTTGTGTGTTTATTTATTTATTTGTTTGTTTATTTGTTTGTTTGTTTGTTTGTTTGTTTATTTGTTTGTTTGTTTATTTGTTTGTTTGTTTGTTTGTTTGTTTGTTTGTTTGTTTGTTTGTTTATTTGTTCGTTTACCTCCTCCATTTCCTGCCGCCTCTCTTTAATTTAATTACCTTTTTATATCTTTATTTATTTATTTATTCAATTCAATTAAATTTATTTATTTATTTATTTATTTTTATTTATTTATTTATTTATTTATTTATTTAATTCTCAGGTTGGCGCCGAACGTTTGTTTGTTTGTCCCCCGTTCGACAGATTTACATGAGCTGATTTTGTTTGCTTCTTTACTTCACTTTCCGCTTGTAGAAGTAGAGACTCTTTTCTTACCTTCTTCTAAGCAGACACCCCACCATTCTAAAAAGAAATACAATAGCACCAGCTGCAGCAGCAGCAACTGCAGCAGCAGCAGCAGCAGCAGCAGCAGCAACCGCAGCAGCAGCAGCAGCAGCAGCAGCAGCGGCTATAAACAACAACACGCCCAAATAGCGCAGTATGCAGAGGCTCCAGTTTACCCCAAGGTAAGACAGAGACAATTAAAGAGGAGACAGACAGTAGAAAGGAGACAGACAGATAAAAGGCGACAGTAGAAAGGAGACAGTAGAAAGGAGACAGATAGGAGACAGATAGGAGACAGATAGGAGACAGATAAAAGGAGACAGACAGATAAAAGGAGACAGATAAAAGGGGACAGACAGATAAAAGGAGACAGATAAAAGGAGACAGACAGGTGAAAGGAGACAGAAAGATAAAAGGAGACAGTTAAAAGACAGGGACAGCAGGGCCACCGGGCAGGTGTTTTGATTGAGGTGTATGCTTAGCTTGTGTATTTGCTGCAGGCTGTAATAATATATTTAGTGCGAGAGGTGAAGGCGTGGATACAGAGCAGAGGAATACCCGAGAAAAATAGCTTTGATGTGTCTTTAGTGCAGCAGAAAGAGAGAGGCTGGCTCTGCCGTTTGTTTGGGGTGTACAGGCAGCCTAAACTTGTGGGGTCTTCTCTGTCTTTGCAAAGACAGCACCCTGAGGGTATTGATTGTATGCTTTGCGAGTTACTACTAGAGCAGCAACAAGAAAGAAATTCAGGTGTACAGACAGATACAGAGGGGCCTTTAACTGCCGCAGCCCTATTCACACAAACACAAAACAAACATCAACAAAGGGGCCCCACACCTTCTTTCTCTCAGCTGCTAACAGCAATTAATAAAGCTATGCAACATCTTTTAAGAGACAAACAAGAGGCTTCCCGGACACTCACAGGGGGGCCCCCAGCAGCAGCAGGGGGGCCCCCAGCAGCAGCCTGTGAGCTGCCTGTCTCTGTAGAGGCCCATCTCAAAGATGGGAATTTAGGGGAGGCCCTCGCAGCTTTTGCTGCTGCACTTAGTGAAGTGAAATAAACAAAGAGGGCCCCAAAAGAAGCCACAGCCCCACAACATGCATGCATGCATGCATGCATATTGCAGCTGCTACTAGCAGTGAAGAAAGCCATGCACCTGTTAATAGCAGGTTTTTCGCGCAGCATGCATGCATGCATGCATGCATGCATGCATGATGCTTCGTTCATACGTAATGCTTCATGCATGTATGTTTCTTGCATGCATGCATGCATATTTCATGCATGCATGCATGCATATTTCATGCATGCATGCATGCACGTTTCTTGCATGCATGCATGCACGTTTCTTGCATGCATGCATGCACGTTTCTTGCATGCATGCATGAAGCAGCAGAGAGGGAGAGACGAAGTGTGCTGCATGCTGCAGAGATACTTGGCGTTCTTTTGAGGTGTACATACACCTCATGTTAACTCCGTTTGATTTTTAAGTGTTTCTTTTGATTGTTTTGATTGATGTGGTTTAATAATAATAATAATTATTATTATATTACTATTACTATTACTATTTAATATGCTTTAACTGTATATTCATATTGTACGTGCATAATATATAACATATTTATCCTTCTACTATATGCATTCTATATAATATTTTTTCTATCTAATATGTAGATTCCCATTGTGTGTATAATAGTTTAACGCTTAATATCTATACATATGTATATATATATATATATATATACATGCTGCCTACGTTATATATGATGCGTACAGATAAATATTTGATTGTATATAACTACATAATATACGCACTGTACGTCTTAATAAAGAAATAATAAAATATATTATATATATGTATTTTCAGGTATTAGATTATATATAAATATAATAATATATAATATATAAAGTATATATATATCTATCTCTAAATAAGAAGAAGACAAAAGGCTTTACTGCGAATATAAACTTATATATCTCTGTTCGGCAAAAGAAAGAAGAGAGACAGAAACAAACAAAGAAGTTATTTTATTATTTGTTTCTGTCTCTCCTCCATTCAAATGCAATTTAAATCAAACAAACAACAACAACAAACCTTCTCTCTCTAACCTCTTGCATGCAAATAATACTCTTCGCTGTATGTACACCGCCAACAGACCCCACAGACAGACACATACACCCCAAAATGTTCATACACCAAATAAGCCTATCTAATTATATGTACATGTATATATATATATATATATATATATATACATATATATATATACAAATGTATATACGTATGTTGGTGTATTCATGTAATATATATATATATATATATATATATATATATATATATATGTTCATAAAAGCATATATATACATATGTATATTATGCAGATGCATATATTTATATTTACATACATATGTATATTTGTATAGATATGTATATAAATATAAATATATAAATTATTTGGTGTTTACATCTCTGTGTTGCTCCATAGAGATGATAAAGATAATTCTTTTAAAATATAATAATATGTAAAATAATTATCTTTATCATTCCTAATAGCAAGCCTTCTCTTAACTTTTTTTGGGTAATGCATGCACGAGTAAGAGCTTGAATAACTCCTTATTATTTATTTATTTTTTGTTTATTATTAATTATTTTTGTTTGTTTTCTACTCATTGTTCTATAAGGATAAGACAGACAGACCTTTACTCTATATAAAGAGACAAGGAGACAAAAGAAACAAAAGAAGATAATAATTATTTATATATCTTTATTATTTGTTTTCATATTCTGCGTCTATCAGCCCTTCCCCTTCTCCTACAAACACAAGCAGCAAACAAAGCCCAAAAGAAATACATTATTGCATGCATGAATGCATCCATGCATGCATAAACAAAAACACTAAGTGAATATATGCATGCATGCATGCATGCATGCATAAACAAAGAAAAAGAGAGTATTTGCATTCTTGCATGCATGCATTCATGCATGCACGCATTAATATTAAAGGTAAGTGAATACTTGCTTCTATGTTTATGCATGCATGCATGCATAAACATGAAAGATAATACTTGCATGCATGCATGCATGCATGCATACATGCATAGAAATATTCTTTTATTTTTAATTTTGTTTACCTCTCCAGAAAGACTCCTCAAGGTTGACGTTGGCTTCTGATGGTGTACGACCTGCAGCGCCTCCTCCTGTTTCTCCTTCGATATGTGTGGGGCTTTCTTGTGTTGCATGCGCTGGTGGTTTTCTAAAAAGAAACAAATAAAAGACAGATACAAAAGAAATCAAAACAACAAAAGAATTAGTAATAGCAGCGTACCACACCCTATGCATGCGCCGTTAGATTCATACTCAGACTAGAAAAACAAGAAAATCTGAAGTAGGGTCTACACGCTCAAGGGTTTAGGGTTTAGGGTTTAGGGTTTAGGGTTTAGGGTTTAGGGTTTAGGGTTTACTTTGTATAATATACAGCACCAGCTGCAACAGCAGCGAGAATTATGAGGCCCCCAACAATTCCACCGGCGAGAAGCCATTTATTTCCTGTGCAAAAAAAACCCTAAACCCTAAACCCTAAACCCTAAACCCTAGCTAAGGTTAGGTACGACTCGAAAAGGATATATTGAAATGCAAGACAAGGCATCATTTACTTCTTTTGCTTTATTATTAAACAAGTAGAAGAGAAACGCTGGCACCCCTTAACTGCGAAAATTCAGTCTAGGGCTTAAGGTTTGCGGTTTAGGGTTTAGGGTTTAGGAAGAGGAGGAGGAAGAGGTTGTGTGGTGAAAGGATATGCAGTGTTTTAGGGTTGAGGGTTTAGACATGCAATGCGGGCCTCTGAGGGAAGCCAAAGAAAAACCTCGTGCAGATACTCTAGGGTTTAGGGTTTAGGGTTTAGGGTTTAGGGTTTAGGGTTTTGTACCCTCATCACTTTCGGTCTTTTCTTCTTCATGAATGCCTTCTGCACCTTCTGGTGGTGGAGATGGTTTTGTTTCCTCATCATTTGTATCTGTCTCTGGCTGCGTAATCTCTTCTGCTTCGTCTATTTCTTCAGTCGGGGGTTTATTATCTTGTTCTTTATTTGCATCTTGGTCTGTCTCTCCTCCGCCTGTCTCTTTATCTGTCTCTCCTCCGCCTGTCTCTCCTCCAGCTGTCTCTCCTCCGGCTGTCCCTCCACCACCTCCATTACCACCTTCAGTAGAAGTATTTGTTTTTTGAGGTAGATGCTCTTCTTCAATATCTCCTATTGCGGTGTATGCTGTGCTTCCTGCAGACTTTATAAAGCAGTCTGGCGTCTGTTTAAATATTATACAGCTACCCCCTGAAGAAACTCCTCTAGGAATGTAATTCGCATAGTTATACCCATAACCACCTGCACTTACAAACACGCAAACCCTAAACCCTAAGCCCTAAACCACAAACCCTAAACCCTAAGCCCTAAACCATAAACCATAAACCCTAAGCCCTAAACCACAAACCATAAACATTGAACCATAAACCCTAGACAATAAATAATAAATAAGTAATAAATAATAAATAAGTAATAAATAATAAGTAGTATGCTCTAAACTGCGAATTATGAATTATACATAATAAGCAATAAACAGTTAACCACAATCAACAATAAACCCTAAACCATAAATCTTAAACCCTAGACCCTAAACCCTAAACAATAAACAATAAACAATAAACAATCAACAATAAACAACAAACAGCAAGCAATAAACAATAGGCCCTAATCCCTAAACCCTAAACCCTAAACCCTTAACACGACAACAAATAGCAAACAACCACCAACAACAAACAGCAAACAGCAACAAACAATAAACAATAAACAAAGTGTATAAAATGCAGGATATAAACTACCACTGCACTGACAGAAGAAAACGAAGACAGACAGACGAAAACAAACAAACAACAAGTTTAAGTCCCCTAGGAGAGAAATGCATGAAAATATAAAATATAAATATATATTCATATAGAAAGGAATCTCCTGCATGCATATGTTGGGGTGTCTGGCTATAAACTATAAAAAAGCACTATACAAATATATATATAGTATATATATATTATATAGAAAGGAATATAGTGCATGCATGCATTGGGGTGTCTGCATGTACACCACAGACCCCACACCTGAAAGAGAAGCGGCGCTGTCTAACGTAGGCCAAACGGAATCCCAATTTGTTGGATTTGTTGCAACAGCCTCGTCTGAAGCAGATGATTTAAAAACCTCCTCCCAGCAACTACTTTTTTTATTTACTTGGGTTGTATACACCCCAGCGCTTGATGATGTAAACGGAATGCACGAACCCTCAGACCATACGCCAAATAACGCGTCTTTCACTGCCTTTGTTGCTGCAAACAGCAGCAGCAGTAGCAGCAGCAGCAGTAGCAGCAGCAGCAGCAGGCAGCAGCAGCAGCAGCAGCAGGCAGCAGCAGCAGCAGCAGCAGGCAGCAGCAGCACCAGCAGACACAAACAAGAAGAGATGAAGAATGAATGCAAGGAAGGAAGCAATGCCAGACGGGGAACATCAAAAACGTTTATAATAATATATATATACATACATACATACATACATATATATATATATATATATATATATACGTGTGCATGAATAGATAAATATACGTATATATATGAAAATATACATTATATATATACACGTATGTCTACATACGTCTATATGTAGATACATATATATATATATATATATATATATATGATATATATATATGATATATATATATGTTAATAAATCTATATTTACATACAGAAGAAGATAAGGGAGACAGCAAAAGGGACACAAGAAAACAGCAGCAAAGACAGCAACAGAAGTAGAGAGAAGAATACAGGACAGAAGAGATAAGCAGAGACAGTTGAAACAAAGATGAAGATAAAGAACGTACGACAATGCGTCCGCCAGTAATCAAAGTCGTTCCCATTTGCTGCTCCTATATATCCCGATCCGTAGACAAGTGATGCCGATTCTTCTGCGCTTTTATTAGGATAGAAGCACGGCCAAATTAAACCTGCTGGAGAATTAAATGTAGAGCAGTATCTGCAGATAAATTTAAAACGATGACAGACACAGACAAAGACAGAGACAAAGACAATAGGCACACAGACAAAGACAGAGACAGAGACAGAGACAGAGACAGAGACAGAGAGACAGAGAGACAGAGACAGAGACAAAGACAGAGACAGAGACAAAAACGACAAGGTATGATTCGTACCTGCTTCCTTTAAGCTTTTGCATGGAGACATGCAGAACATAGCATTTATTTGAAGAAGAATCGAAGACAAAGGGTAATTTATAATCAATTTGTTTATTTGAACCCGGCTTCATCGGCTCAAGAAGAGAAGCATATCTTGCACATCGAGATATCGGGTGCTTAGGCCCTGACGCTGAATCCGCATGCATGCATGCATACATACATATATTAATTTAATTAATTTAATTTAATTAATTTGATTTAATTTTATTTGTTAGATTAATTTTTGTTTAATGTATTTGTTTAATTTTAATATAATTAATTAAATTGGTTAATTATTTAATTCGGTAAATTTAATTTAATTATTCGATTAATTAATTAAATTAAATTAAATTAATTTTAACAAATCAAATAAATTAATTAATTTAATTAATTAATAATTAATTCATTAATCTATCTGTTTTGTTTGAATTAAGAAATTAATTCTCACAAACAAATCAAAACAAACAACAAATAACAAACAAACAACAAACAAAACAAACAACAAATAAAAACAAACAATACAACAAACAACAAAATAAACAATAAAACAAACAATAAACAAAGACAGCAAAAAAGATCAGAAAACAACAAAGACAGCAAACAACAACAAATAAGGAGGAGAACAAACATCAGCAAATAACAAAGATATCAAACAGCAGCAAATAACAAAGGTATCAAACAAGAGCAAATAACAAAGAGAGCAAACAAAAGCAAATGAAAAATTATAAAGAAGTCTGACCTCCAAAAGCATCAACAAGAAATGCATCTGTAACAGGAGAGAAAGATCTTCCTGTGTTGCTAACATAAGCTAGGTTAAACCCTCCAGGTAAAGGCCTAGCTGAGCTTCCCCCTACAGGGAAATTTTGAAGAAATGTTTGAGTTGTTGCCCCGGACTTTTGAAGTTGTATATATTTTCCGAACACAGGACAAAAACCCCCGACCTGTCGATAACCAGACCCAGTCTTACCCAGGTCAACGTACACTCCAGAACCTGTACGCATGCATCCATGCATGCATACATATAATATATATTATATATATTTGTTTATTTATTTGTTTATTTCTACGCAAATGCATTGTATTACCTCTACATGGAATGTATGAATGTCCTTTCATAATCACATATATATATATGAATGTATGCAGGTTTATATGTATACATAAATGCATGTATATATGTAAATATGCATTTATATATGTGCATATGTGTACACGCATACACGTATATAGGAATATAAGCATATATACATAGTAATATATATATATATTAAAAATGCATATACGTATACATCCACACATGTATATACGCATAGGTATCTTCATATTCAGTAAAAGTATTACTTGAACAGCTTGCAAATGCACGGGGTAAAAGAAAAAGAACAAACAGGGGGGCAGATAGAGAGATTAGCAGCAGCAACTGCAGCAGTATTCCTCTTCTGTGTTTTTTTCTAATTTGTTTTTATGCAGCCACCTCACCATGCCTTTCAGGTATATTAAACTTCCCCATAAAGGCCTTCAGCTCGGGGTCGGTCTGCCAGGGATTTGCTGCTTGTCTTGCTGCCTTAGAAGCAGCAGCAGCAGAAGTAGCTGCAGCAGCAGCAGCAGTAGCAGCAGTAGCAGCAGTAGCAGTAGCAGCAGCAGAATGGTGCTGAATAAAGGCTAAAGAGGAAGATGAGTTGTACAACCCAACGACACCATTATTTTCTGTTGCTGCTATCATCTCTGCTGCTTCTTTTGCTTCTGCAGCAGCAGCAGCAGGTGCAGCAAGTCCTGCAAAGGAGACTGCAGCAGCAGCATTTGCTGTTTCATTGAGGGGGGATTTGATGTTGCTGCCTCTTCTGAGGGTCTCCTCCCTGAGATTATTTCTATTTGTACTTTGTACATTCACAGAGAGAACAATTAGAGAAAATGCAGCAGCACACAGCCGCCGCTGCAGCCACATTTTAAAAGAAGAAGAAAGTAAAAATATACTCTCCGTACACCCCTCGCTGTGTTTCTTGCTACTAGTGCTGTTCCGGGTGTTGCTGTTGGTGTGGCTGCAGCTGATGTTAATGCTGCTGCTACGATTGCTGCTGCTGCTGCTGCTGCTGCAGCTGTTGCTGCTGCGGTTGCTGCTGCTGTTGCTGTTGTTGAGTTTGGAGGTGGAGGGAGCGATAGGATGCAAGCCTAATATGAAGAGAGCAATGAATAACTGCCGCTGTTATGATGCATGCAGGCAGCTGAGCATACACCTGAAAGAAGATTTGTTGCACAGCAACTCGCTGCAAACGAAGGGAAGAAGAAGTGGGTATACACCTCAGAGATGTTCATGGCTTGTCTAGTTTTTTATCTTTTTAAATAGTTTCTGCATGCATTTTATTATTAATAGGCGGTAAAAGGGAAGAAATAAGTAATAGAGAAGAAGCCCTGCAGTTGCTGCAGCTAGAAGGAAACAAGAACGGGAGGCAAGCGGCTCAAAGATAGCCTTGAAGTGGTATTATTCTAAAAAGAAAAGGAGAATTCATGAAGAACAAAGGGAAGAAATAATAAATGAAGCTTCTTCTTCACTTTTCCTGAAATATTGTACAGCTCGTGCATGGACAGAAAGCTAAACGGGTGGCTGCGCGCAGGCGCCCGCCGCTCGCAAGAAGAAGCGGAAATAATCAAGGTTTAATTTATTTATTTCAGTGTTTTTAGGAATAAATAAAAGAATAAATACAGAAAATGACTTTAAAATGCAAGAAAAGTCGCAGAAGCAGACAGCACATTTCTATCGAACCAATGGACCGCTTCTGTCTCGCCTTAGCCTCCCTCTTTCCTACAACGATCTGCACTAAAAAATGCGAAATTAGATTTCAAATCTAATTTAAATTAAATTTTAAAACAAATTAATAACATAATCTATGATTTTAATTTAATATCAATGCAAATCCTCTCCCCACGACGGCTTTCTGAATATTGAATTTCTCAGTGCGCAGCACATCGAAACTCGGAAGACGCCTTTGAGGGGAAAATGAACCAAATTAAGTTATTTATTTGACGGAAACTTAAATTAAATCAAATTATTTATTAAGGGGACTTAAACAATTAAAAAAAAGCAGAAAATATTTGCGTTATCTTCCGTGTTTCTGCATGTCTGCTGCATTCTGTACACTGGGAAAGAACGAAAATGCATATTCGGCAGTCTGGGGTCTTTCTAAGGCGTTTAAGTTTAGAAATAAAAGATAATAATCATTAAAAAGAAGGAAATACTCTAAAAACAATGATTGGCAGCAGTAGATGCACCTCGAAGAACAGTACACGCAGACAACTCTAACGATTCTTTCTTTCTCTATTCAACATGTACATCTTTATGAAGACAAATGCATGCATCTTCTGTTCTATTTATAAACAAGAGCCTTATATAAGTTTGTCCCCGCTGTAGCTCATCCTCTAGCCCCTCCATAGCCTTCACTATACTTTAGGGTTTAGACTATTATTATATTCTAATATTCTAAACCCTGAGGGTTTTTTAAGGGTTTACGGTTTGGGATGATGGGATGGATTTCATTTAACAGTACAGCGCGTTTGATTTGAGTTGAAATGAGAGAAGGAAGAACTAAAATTGTTGCATTTTTAACTAAGCTGCAGAATAGAAAAAAAATCTGATTGATGAAGCAATAACAAAATCCATACGAAATATAATACTTCGCAGTTTTAATGTTTATGTTTCGTTTATCGGCCAGCAAATAATTTCTTTGCATATTCTTCATAAAGGTAGAGGGCTGCTATCAAAGATGAATTACTCTTTGGGGTTTTCTTTCAACGAACTCAGTACCATGAAGCATGAAATGCGTTTGTTTAGAATGAATATATATATATATATATATATATATATATGTATATATGTATATATATGCATATATATTGTTCTTTTTAATTCAACATACAGTAACTTGAATACCTTAAAATTATATTCAGTTTGATTATAATTTAGGGCCCCCCTCTGACTCCACATCGCAAACTCAGGGAAGAGTTCTCACTAGGTGTGAAGATTTAGAAGAAAGCTATTATATATATATATATATATGCATATATATATATATATGTTAAGGATCATTTTCTTGTTTATATTCTTCTTTTAACCTTCTAGTGCAAGCACTGGGGAGAGTAATCCATTAAATTTCATTAGGAATGATATATCATAGAGATAGTTCAACAAAAGATGTGAATTGAATTACAGAATAATCAACAAACAAACCCTTTGTGGCTCTTCCTTTGTAAACATTTGCATTTGGATTGAACGATAAATATATATATATATATATATATATATATATATATATATATATATA